CAGATTTGTTCTTTCTTCTGGCAGTCCATGGTATATTCAGTTTTCTTTGCCAACACCATAGTTCAAAGGCATCAATTCTTCTCTGGTCTTCCTTATTTATTGTCCACCTTTCACATGCGTATGAGGTGATTGAAAGTACCATGGCTTGGGTCAAGCGCACCTTAGTCCTCAAAGTGACATGTTTGCTTTTTAACACTTTAAAGAGGTCTTTTGCAGCAGATTTGCCCAGTGGAAATAAATGTCATTTGATTTCTTCACTGCTGCTCCCATGGATGTTGATTGTGGATGGAAGTAGAATGAAGCCCTTGGCAACTATAGTCTTTCCCTGTTTATCATGATGTTGTTTATCTGCCCAGTTGTGAGGATTTTTGTTTTCTTTGTGTTGAGATGCAATCCATACTGAAGGCTGTGGTCTTTGATCTTCATCAGTAAGTGCTTCAAGTCCTCTTCACTTTCAGCAAGCAAGGTTGTGTCATCTGCATATCGTAGGTTGTTAATGAGTCTTCTTCCAAGCCTGATGCTGTTCTTCTTCATATAGTCCAGCTTCTCGGATTATTTGCTCAGCATACAGATTGAATAAGTATGGTGAAAGGATACAACCCTGACACACACCTTTCCTGACTTTAAACCACGCAGCATCCCCTTGTCCTGTTTGAATGATCAGTGCCTGCTAGAGTATTTAGAAAGACTAGAGGTAGGGTTTCTCAAACTGAGGCGTTAGGGTCTCCAAGGGTCCGCATGTTCTAAAGGGTTGGGAATTATGTAAGTCTGAAATTATTTCAAAATTAAAATTATTTTTTAAATTTAAGATAATCAAATGTGAAAAACGTAGAAACAAAAAACAAACAAAAAACTCACATAATTCCCAAATACTCCAGCTTTAAATAGACTAGTTTTAGTTTATTAAATCAGTTTTCTTAAACTGGGATCTGTTCTTGGGTGTCTGAATTTTTTTTCTCCCCTTAAAAGAGGCTCATACATTACTCAAATGTGAGAAACAATGCCTTTAAGTATGTATTGTGTCTCAGAGGTATTTGAGTTTTAGTAAGAAATCCTTAAAGATAAAGTAGGAGTGAATCTTTGAAGTCTTATTAAAATCCTTATTAAGATCAAGACAAAGTCAAATGCTGTTTGAGTTGTGTCTTAGGAAATTCAGTGAATCGAAGACCTGAAGTGGGACCTTCAAGGGCCTCACAGCTTTCTATCTAGGACAGAAATTCTCTCTGTCTCAGGTAAGTTTGCACTCAGGTTCTTCTTAAATATTTCTGGTAACAAGGAAACTTAAGTATCCTGTATGGTGACACATTCCAGTTGTAGATCCTCACATCTAGTTTTTATAAATCAGTAAGAAAGATCAACAGCCTGATAGATAAGTGATTGGCAAAGGACCTGAAAAAACACTTCCCAGAACATGAAAATACCAACGAGTTTAAAACATGGAAAGCTATTATGCTGGTAGAACTATAACTGGAACTACATCTATATATGCTGATATGGAGTGATCTCCAAGACTTTGCGTAGAGAAAAATAAGATGCAGAAAGATATTTTTCCACTGTGTTGTGTCTGTTTTCTCCTTAAAAAGAGTTATATATGCTCATAATACACACTCAAAATTTTTGGAAGACTGTGCAAACTTAATTGCTTGTGAGAAGAGGAGCCTATTTTTGTTGTATATCTCTTTGTATTATAAAAATGAAAAAACTAATTAAAAACATTTTAACTTAAAATGAGCCAAAAAGCTGTCGTTCTGTAACTTCTGTCGACTAGTCACAGTTCTTACTTTTGGAATAGCACAAAATTTATAAGGATAGCTTTCTGATATTTTGAAATCAACCACAATAGTCCTTAAATCTTCTTTTTTCCAGGGTAAATAAAGACACTTCCATTTAACTTTAACCAGTTCCTATGTGACATGATAGCCAGAACAGATTCCAACTTGTTGATATTTATGAATATTCTCAATATGGCCAAATCTCTCTCATAACAGGCCTCCCTTTGAAAGCCTTACTTCTGGTGTCCTACCCTGAGAGATTGATTGGTTGGTTGATTTTAATAGTCATGCCATTCTTTGAGCTTGCTGTGACAAACTCTTCACCAAGTCTTTTTCCACATATGTCGTCACGTTGGCATGGATTAATTTACATTCTTTGAATGCAGTTCTTCAGCAAGCTGCAGATCTGCCTGTTATACTTTTTTTGTGTGACTGCTGTATTCCTCTGTATTCGTGTAGTGACTGCTGTATTCCTCTGTATTCCTGTAGTGACTGCTGTATTCCTCTGTATTCCTGTAGTGACTGCTGTATTCCTCTGATATTTCTTCTCTAGTAGATTATCAAAAGAAAAAAACAACACATCTTGTGTTAAGTGTCTGTTTTCCCACACTTCCTTGTTTTTCATGGCAGGAGGTACAAGGGACTTAATACTCTTGCCATACTCTTCTTCCATCAGCCTTCCTTCAGAAACTCTCTTCTTTGATCAGAGAATCTATCCTGATATTATTTACTTAAATAGGTGTTCTTTTGCTGAAAACATTTGTGGCTGATTCCTGCTAGTAATTGTAGCCTCATAATTTCATTAACCTCTTCAAAAAGGCCTTGGTCCCTTTTTGCTGCAACAGTCTACTCCATGGCCACACCCAGGTCTTGTCATCTCCTGGAATTGTACCCCAACTGTAAAATACTACTCTGACCATAATTTTCAGTTCTTCCACCTTACCCACTTTTTTAACCTCTCTTCTTTCTCGGTTGTTTTAACTTTAGCAGTGCCTTCAGTTCTCTCAATCCTTCTATTCCTCTTGTCCCTCACATCTTAACTCACCAGCTGTTTTCTCTGTTATTTCTTCTGGATAGCTTGCTTAATGCTGTCAACAGAAGTAGAATAACTGTGCTGATGAGCTCCATTATAAGTTGGTAATGTCCAACTTTCGGTGGCAGCATTGAGGATTACAGTCCATATAGTTATCTATCTGCTTCATTTTCTGTTCCCCATACTTGAGTTTTCTTTAAGTCTTTTATCCTGCCTCCCTCCCCCAACTTTCAACTAATGATGTCAGAGAACAACTGAGGCCATAAAGGATATGCTTGCTTTATTTTGAAATTTAGCTGTATCTTCACTTGCCTGTATATCTCTTTCTCGCGATCACCCTCTCCTCCATCTGTTTAATGATTTCGTACTTTTTCTGTGATCTAAACACCTTGTTTGCTCACCAGCTTGGTTTATGGTATAGGGTGAGGTGCTCATACATGCACACAAAATTTTTGGGAGAATGTGCAGTCTCATTCATGTATTGCCATCAGTGCTTTTATGATGAGAAAACTTTGATATTTTCCTCCAGATTTTCTGTTATGTGCTTATATTCCTTTTATTATAAACATCTTATTTTATTATTAAGTTCTGGGAAATGTCATGCCATCTCTGATTTCTGAAATGGACCTTTATTCCCTCCTCCCCCCAAATTACAAATGTGAATGATAGTTACCCTGAATGCTTGGACATTTTCTGGCAACTTCCTGTTCTTCAGAAATTTTAGATGGTGCTAATTTAAATCAAATCTAATATGCCATAGGCTGTAAGGTTACCATTATTTTATGAACCAGTAAGAAAGGAAAAAACTGCCAATTAAATTATGATGCCATTGATAGTACAATGTATCCTGATTTCAGAGGTATTTCAGAGGTATTATATGTGGGGAAAATGTACATCATAGAGTTAGTGCAATACAGTAATTCTAAGATTATATCTGAGATTTGTACTAATTTTGGAATAGAAGAGAGTGTTTAACCTTGGTGCTACTTCAGATCTCACCCACGTATTGGTGACTTTTTCCTTCATCACTTGGTACTGGATGCCGACCACAGGCACTGGTGAGTGAACTGAATTATGATGAAGTCAGGTCTGTATTTGGGGAAAGAGTTTTTGTACATTTGTTTTAAGGGGCATTTAAAATAGTTTGCTGTACTCCATTCTTTGTTTTTTTTCCTTCATACAAAAATTTATACATACATTGTTATGTGACCCTAATTGCTCTCCCCATACTGTGACAACACACTCCTCCTTTCCACCCCTGATTTCCCATGTCCATTCAACCAGCTCCTATAAAATAGTTCGTTGTACTCCATTCTTGCCTCGTAGCCTACAGAGCGACCTGGTTAATATATAAATCTAGCCTAAGTCCCTCTTGTGGCTTCGCTTTCTCCAGGCAGATGGTTTCTCAGTATTCCTTGGTGCACTGGTGTACACCAGACTTTTGGCTTTGATTCTTTACGACACTGTGTGTTTACCTTTGTTTTTTAAAAAAACAAAACAAAAACATGAGCTCAGAGAACCACACACTGTTGTAGAGCAGAATGTATGCCTTGCATTCAGCAAAGGGGTTGTTGAATGGATACCAAAAAAGATTGTTGAATGGATACCAAAAAAGATTGAGAACCACTGATCCATAAGATAAAACATATTTCTCCTCATGAGAAACCTGACTTATTGAACTACTTATAGTTTCCTTATACTTACCGTTATATATTTCATTCTCTGTGCCTTTGCCCACAATCTCCCCGTGAACATACTCTAATCTATTTTAGGAAGGTTTCCTTGATGTACCTAAACTCTCACTAGGCTGAGTTACTTATCTTCCTCTTTGCTGCTACACATTACATATTTTTATCCTTATATTTACTCCATTATGTTGGAATTACTCTTGTAACAAAATTGCATTTTGTAACTTACAGGAAACTGTAAGCTCCTTAAAGGACAGGCACTCTACCTTATTCACCTTTGATCTCCAGCAGCTAGCACAGTACATGGCATTATCTTCAATAAGTGGCCTCGGATGTCACTGAGGCTATGAAGGAGTGGGCAGTCCGTATAGAATAAACCTGTAGCTAGCAGATATCCTAAGATTTAGTAATAAAAACAACAACAAAACAACATTCATTTCAATCAGTACTAAGTATTTATGATTTCTTTTTATTCTTTTGCATGCTTTCTTGGCTGAATGGCAATAGAGAAGAAGAAAATGAGGTAAGTATAATTTAGTTATTCAGTGATTATGGAATTGATCTCCGAATACGTTTTTGAGATTATGTAAAAACTGAAAACATGCAAAGTTTAACTATTATTTTGAATGTGAAATGAAGTAATGTTTTTTGCTTAATATTGTTTTTGGGTCTACAGTAATTTATTCCAGTGAGGGATGTTGTGTGATCTCAAGAAAATGGTTTTTAAACTTCGAGCTTCAAGAGCTTTAAGGAAGGTAGAGGAAGCTGGAAACTCTAGGGACAGCTTTTACCTGTTTTTATTTATTGAGCTTCCATGTAAGAGTTAATTTGAAAGGTGGACTCTGTTTCTTAAAGTATTTGAGAACTACTATTCTAAGATAATATATGTGAAAGCATTTACTTTCCTTCTTGAATGGCTACTGTGTAATTTTGAAAACTGATTGTAGATTTCATCAGGTTGGAGGGGAAAACTTCTCTTAAACAGCCAAAGAACATCAATTAGAAAATCTTGCAGATTGCAAGTGTATCATCTTAAATTTAGACTTGAATTTGTTGCTGTAGATTTTTCTGATGTTTTCTCTACACCTGGGCTGTACTTTTAACTTCTAAAGCCTTCGGTGGTTTGGCATATAATGGAGGGAGTAGTTTTTTTTCTTAGATATATACTTTGTAAGTGTTGTTTATATAGTAGTGTCAGACTATAAATTAGCAGTGCCTGAGTCTGTGGGGTCTAGGCAAAAATAACAGCAGTGTGCCAGGGAAGAATACTTTCCAGGAAGGCAGATGGTCTGGTCCTCATTTGGTTACCTCATCTGTAAAATGGATGAGGTGAGAAGCTGCTCTATACCGCGGTTTCCCAAACCTGGGAAGTCCATCAGTATTGCCTTGGGTGCTTGTTTACAAAATAAAAATCTTTCTTGCCTCACTCTTAGACCTATTGATTCCCTGGGGTGTGGATCGCAAATCTGTATTTTTACCAATCACCCAAGTAATTCTATGTGATGCGAGGAAAACAGTGGTTTTGATGACTTCAGGTGTGTTTTTTTCTCCAGACAGAGCACAAGAATAAACTTTTCAGTACTGTGATGTTACCTATTGCCCTCTCTGCACATATCCTTTTGTTTGTATCATAAAATGCACATCAGTGTTTTTATTTTTATTAAAAATTCTATCTGGAAAACAGTTATAAAACTGGATAAATTTTTTTTATGTGCGAAATAAGAATGGAAAATTACTAGTACTATTGAAGTGGAGGGTGAGTACTTAGGGTTTTTTAATACTGTTTTCTATAATTTTGAGTGTATTCAAAAACTTTGTATAATAAGGAATTAAAAAAAGATTCTTATGCAGCTTAGTAGAATTCATACATTTGTCATACATTTCTCATTTCCCTAACTGATAAACATTTTAAACTGTGATGCCAGCCATTTGAAAGTAACTGTTTGCTGTAGTATTAACTGCTTGTTTTGTTCATTTATAGGCAAAGATTGAAAATGTGCAGAAAACAGGTTTCATCAAAGGACCAATTTTCAAAGGTGTTGCTTCTAGTCGATTTTTGCCCAAAGGCACCAAGACAAAAGTTAATTTGGAGGAACAGGGACGACAGAAGGTGTCATTCAGCTTCAGCCTTACAAAGAAAACTTTACAGAATAGATTTCTGACTGCACTTGGAAATGAAAAGCAAAATGATACTCCAAACTCCCCGGCTATACCTCTTCAAGCAGATTCGACCCCTAAAATTAAAGTGGACATTGGAGATACTTTATCTACTACAGAAGAATCTTCCCTACCAAAATCAAGGGTGGAATTGGGAAAAATTCATTTCAAAAAACATCTACTTCACGTAACATCCAGGCCACTGCTGGCTGCTACCACAGCAGTAACATCTCCACCTCCTCCCACAGTACCATTACCAGCAGTTATAGCAGAATCGACAACTGTCGACTCACCACCCCCATCTCCACCTCCACCACCTCCACCTCCCCAAGCCACAACACCCTCACCACCAGCGCCAGTAACAGAGCCAGTGGCCTTGCCACATGCACCAGTAACAGTTCTGATGACAGCACCAGTGCCCTCACCAGTAGATGTAACAGTTAGAGCCCTGAAAGAACCACCAGTTTCAGTTGTATCAGAATCTTTAGAAGTGGACACTAAGCAGGACGCTGTATCTAATAGTTCAGAAGAACACATAACTCAAAATTTGAATGAGCAAGCAAATATTCCCTCACAAAAAGGAGATTCCCATATTGGGAAGGAAGAAGAAATTCCAGATAGTTCTAGAAGTAGTCTAGGCTCTAAGAAAACAGGTTCTAAGAAGAAATCTTTACAGTCTGAGGGCACCTTTCTTGGTTCAGAATCTGATGAAGATTCTGTACGGACTTCCTCAAGTCAGAGGTCACATGATTTAAAATTTTCAGCAAGCGTTGAAAAGGAAAGAGATGCAAAAAAGAGCTTAGCACCTTTGAAAAGTGAGGATTTAGGGAAATCTTCACGATCTAAAACAGAGAGAGATGATAAATATTTTAGCTACTCAAAACTTGAAAGAGATACTCGGTATATATCTTCCCGATGTAGATCAGACAGAGAGCGAAGGCGGAGCAGGTCTCGTTCTAGATCTGACAGAAGCTCTAGAACTAGTTTATCCTATTCTCGATCAGAACGATCCCATTATTACGATTCTGATCGTCGCTACCATAGGAACTCCCCTTATCGAGAGAGGACACGCTATTCTCGGCCATATACAGAGAACAGGGCAAGAGAGAGTTCTGACTCAGAAGATGAGTATAAGAGGACATACTCAAGGCGTACCTCATCTCATTCCTCCTCTTACAGAGACCTAAGGACATCATCATCCTATTCTAAATCTGATCGGGACTGCAAAACTGAGTCCTCGTACATAGAGACAGAGAAAAGAGGAAAATATTCTTCAAAACTAGAGAGAGAATCCAAAAGGACTTCAGAAAATGAAGTTTTGAAAAGGTGTTGTTCTCCCTCTAATGATGTGGGATTCCGACGGGGGTCATCATATTCTAAGCATGATAACAGTGCTTCTCGTTATAAAGTTACCCCTTCAAAACCTATACCCAAGTCTGATAAATTTAAAAATTCTTTCTGTTGTACAGAATTAAATGAGGGAATCAAACAATCTCATTCTTTTAGTTTACAGACTCCTTGTTCAAAAGGTAGTGAATTAAGAATGATTAATAAAATTCCTGAAAGAGAAAAGACCGGGTCTCCATCACCATCAAATCAGTTAAAGGATTCACCTACTTTTAAAAAGCTAGATGAATCACTTATTTTTAAGTCTGAATTTATAGGACATGATAGCCATGATAGTATTAAGGAATTAGACTCTTTGTCTAAAGGGAAGTATGATCAATTAAGAACTTATCATCCCATAGAACTAAATATAAATGGATCTCCTGGAGCAGAATCTGATTTGGCAACATTTTGCACTTCTAAAACTGAGACTCTTTTAATGTCTTCTGATGATAGTGTGACTGGATCAGAGGTATCCCCTTTGATCAAAGCATGCATGCTTTCATCAAATGGATTTCAGAATATTAGTAGATGTAAAGAAAAAGACTTGGATGCTACTTGCATGCAGCATAGTAAGTCAGAAAGCCCATTTAGAGAAACAGAACCTCCAGTGTCACCACACCAAGATAAACTCGTGACATTGCCAGTTATGGTGATAGATTATTCCAAAACAGTAGTTAGAGAGCCAGTTGATAAGAGAGTTTCTTGCTGCAAAACCAAAGATTCAGATGTATACTATACTTCAAATGACAGCAACCCTTCTTTGTGTCATTCTGAAGCTGAAAATATTGAGCCTTCAGTTACGAAGATTTCTTCCAATAGCTTTATGAATGTTCATTTGGAGTCAAAAACAGTTATATGTGATAATAGAAATCTGACAGATCAGAACTCAAAGTTTGGATGTGAAGAATATAAGCAGAGCGTTGGTAGCACTAGTTCAACTTCTGTTAATCATTTTGATGATTTATGCCAACCTGTAGGGAGTTCCAGTATTGCCTCATCTCTTCAGAGTCTTCCACCAGAAATAAAAGCAGACAGTTTAACTCACTTGCGGTGTGCAGAGAACACATCTCCAGTTTTGGATGCTGTGCTGATGAGTAAAACAAGCACAGAGTTTTTAAAACACACAGGGGAAGAAACAATAGTAGAAGTGGGTAGTGGCCTTCCTGATTCAAGAAGGGGATTTTCTTCCTGGGAAAACAGGCATAATAATGGGCTGTCTGAGAAGTGTTTGCAAGAGACTCAAGAAGAAGGAAATTCCAGGTTACCTGATAGAAGAAGAAGATCAGAAATCTCTTTAGATGAAGGAGGAAGAAGACATGTGCGTACTTCTGATGATTCAGAAGTTGTATTTTCTTCTTGTGATTTGAATTTAACCATGGAAGACAGTGATGGTGTAACTTACACCGTAAAATGTGACAGTAGTGGCCACGCCTCAGAAATTGTGTCTACTATCCATGAAGATTATTCTGGATCTTCTGAAAGTTCAAGTGATGAAAGTGATTCAGAAGATACAGATTCTGATGATAGCAGTATTCCAAGAAACCGTCTCCAGTCTGTTGTGGTTGTGCCAAAGAATTCTACTTTGCCTATGGAAGAAACAAGTCCTTGTTCTTCTCGGAGCAGTCAGAGTTACAGACACTGTTCCGACCACTGGGAAGATGAGAGATTGGAGTCAAGAAGACATGCATATGAGGAAAAATTTGAAGTTATGGCAAATAAAACCTGTCCTCAAACTGAGAAGTTCTTTCTTCATAAAGGAGCAGAGAAGAACCCAGAAATCTCTTTTACACAGTCCAGCAGAAAACAAGTGGATAACCACCTGCCTGAAATTGTTCATCCTCAGAGTGATGGGGTTGATAGTACAAGTCATACAGATGTGAAATCTGACCCTCTGGGTCATCCAAATTCAGAGGAAATAGTAAAAGTCAAAATAGCTTCTAGGCAACAAGAACTGCCAGTTTATTCTTCTGATGATTTTGAAGATGTTCCAAGTAAGTCTCGGCAACAGACTACTTTCCCTCACAGGCCAGATAGTAGGCTGGGGAAAATGGAGTTGAGTTTTTCTTCCTCTTGTGAGATCTCTCTAGTTGATGGCTTTCACTCATCAGAAGAGCTCAGAAACTTAGGGTGGGACTTCTCTCAAGCAGAAAAGCCTACTACCACATATCAGCAACCTGACAGCAGCTATGGAGCTTGTGATGGACACAAGTATCAGCAAAGTGCAGAACAGTATGGTGGGACACATAGTTACTGGCAAGGTAATGGCTACTGGGATCCAAGATCAGCAGGTAGACCTCCTGGAACTGGAGTTGTGTATGACCGAATTCAAGGGCAAGTACCAGATTCCCTAACAGATGACCGTGAAGAGGAGGAGAATTGGGATCAATGTGGTGGATCCCACTTTTCAAGCCAATCAAATAAATTTCTTCTGTCCATTCAGCAGAAGGACAGGGGATCAGTGCAAGCACCTGAAATAAGCAGCAATTCCATTAAGGACTGTTTAGCTGTAAATGAGAAGAAAGATCTTACAAAAAACTTAGAGAAAAATGACATGAAAGATAGAGGACCTCTTAAAAAAAGGAGGCAGGAATTGGAGAGTGATTCTGAAAGTGATGGTGAGCTTCAGGACAGAAAGAAAGTTAGAGTAGAGGTAGCGCAGGGAGAGACAGCAGCAACCCCAGGCTCTGCACTAGTTGGACCTTCCTGTGTCATGGATGACTTCAGGGACCCTCAGCGATGGAAGGAGTGTGCCAAGCAGGGGAAGATGCCTTGTTACTTTGATCTTATTGAAGAAAATGTTTATTTAACAGAAAGGTAAGCCTAATTAATACTTGTTTGACAACTTTTAACCTTTTTTTGTTAAAAATATATAGCTTTTAAACAGTTCAGACTGCATGAACCTAACCATATGAAGTACAGTTGTGTGATAAAATATAAATTAAAAACCTAAAAAATAGATATTATTTAGATTTGATAGCAGGGATTCCCTTCTCCAGTCTCCCCCCCGCCAAACGGGATGTCTATTTATTTATTTTTTTTATGTCTCATTACATCTTTTGGTTCTAAAAGTATAATTTAAGCCAGTCTAATTTTTCTCTAATTCCTTTTACATGTGGAAGTGTGACAGATAATGAAACAAAACCCCAACAAAATAGTCTACTCTTAGAGAAGACAAAGGTGGTTATGTTGGATTTTCCCTCATACTTTTCAAAACTGTGCAGAATGAAGAATCTGTAGGTACTTTATAAAGCAGAAACTAGACTAGAATATCGTTTTCTTATGTCAGTCTTTTAGTCTATTGCTAGTAGATTAAATTTGGCAATAGCATAACAAATATGTTAGAAATAAAATGGTAAAATGGTTTGTCACAAATCCCTAACACAAAACAAGATGTAATGAGGTTAGGAGTAATGAAACATTCATTTAGAATAGAGCTTCTCAATATGCTTTAACTTTCACCCCTCCTTGATCATCTTACATTCCTAATAAAAATATATGTTGAATGTGCTTCTCTTTTTTTTAACCTATGTTCTCCTACTTACCTATCTCCACCTTTCTGAAAATTTCCCCCCAGTTGTGAATCAGTCTAGCCATCATCTCTTTAAGCATTCAAAAACTTATTAAATAAAGAAATCTGCTGCTGTGGATAAGGTAAAAGACTTTGTTTTAAATAATTAGGTTCCGCAAATGTTTATCCTTTAAAAAATAATTTTTTTTTTTAATGATGGTAGAGAGCCTTTTACATTTACATCTTGTTGTGAATTAGGTTTAAATTCAAAATATTGAATACTTCAAGTAATACACTTCAGGAATTGTGTGAATAGACTGATGGAATTTAAAGGGTCTTAGTAAAAGAATGTAAATAGAATTAATCAGGTGAACCCTCTGGGCTTTATTCCGCAATGAGATTAAGATACATATAAGACTGTGTGCACATAGATTTGGTTGGCGGGGTCATTGGAAGGCCTTTCTGGGGTGGGAAGCATTAATATATATTCAACATTTTTGACTCTGTGTTATGTGCTAGGCATTGAGGAGCCAACAAGAAGACAAATTATTGTAAATAGTATGAATGAAAATTATTTTCTTATGTCTAGTGAAAATAGGCCTGCCTGCAATAATCTGTGCCCTATAGTCCTGATCTGTCCTTCTGGAGCAATACAAAATAAAGCTGCTGCTGATTCTTCAAAGTTAAAGTTCTTTAAGTACTTGTAAATAGGTATTTTTTGTTTACCTGTAGTCATCTTTCTTCAGACTGAGTGTATCCATATACTCATTAATGAATGTGTATCTAGATGAGTCACTCTTTTTACCCAAACTTAGTTGAAACTATCACCAAACACTTTAGATACTTTATAAAACTAGGACTAATATAAAACATATGTCGAAGATTAAAGCAGATTAGAGTTAGAAGATTAAGTTGGCCACTTAGAGCAGCTGTCTTCTTCTTCACTGTCTGATAGTTGAAGAGTGAGTCCTAATTCCCTGATCTTCTTAAGAAGGAGAGCTGAGTCTACCATCCTTGACTTTTTTGGGGAGTGGGGGACACAGGTCAAAAAATAGAGTTCAATAAAAAAGACCAATAAATAATCACATTTTCATTCTTTCTTTGCAAATTAACCTATAGGTTTTTGTGAACCCAGTCAAATTTGAACAGTTTTCCTCCTCTCCCAAAGTCAGTTTGTCTGCATTGGGAAAGTTTAGCCCTCTGAAACCTTACCTGATTGTTCTGTAATTACCTGTTTTTTTCCTTTAATTATTCAGTTTTAAACAAGGTTTATACAAATGTGATGTTACTGAAAGATTCTCTAAAAGATTTGATTAAAAGAGTTAATACTCGTAATTCAGGACTCTTACTTTTTTTAAGCACCTCCTTCTTTTCCTCAACCTTATACTGCAGTTGTTATTTGTTCATTCTAGAGGACTGATTCTGAAATGTAACTTTCATTACCAGCTATGTCACTATTTGAAACTCATGAGTTTTCCTCTTTACTCCTGAGCCCAGTGTGACTACTAACACCTGAAATTGCTCAGAATCCAAGGCTTAATTGACATGGCCTAGGAAAGAAGAGCTGCATACCAAAATGATAGTCTTGAGCTCATCATCTTCCACCTGCCAGGGCTTAGGGTGCCTCTCTCATCTTTTTGCAATACAATTCTTAGTGTTTTCAGTCTCACAAATGCTAGTGATTAGATATTTTCTTCCTTTTGAATGGTTGACTTATAAGAATCATTATGAAACTGATAGGATTTAGTGTATATTTGATGATATATATGTTCCACAATGACCAGGAGATTTGTTTAACCAGTTTTTATAAAATTTTAAACCCAATAGAAAGAAGAATAAATCCCATCGGGATATTAAGCGAATGCAGTGTGAGTGTACGCCTCTTTCTAAAGAAGAAAGAGCTCAAGGTGAAATAGCATGCGGGGAAGATTGTCTTAATCGTCTCCTTATGATTGAATGGTAAGTAAATTAGAATGTTTTGCTTTGCTGAATCCTTTATTAAATTTTCTTTAAATGTAAAAAGAATTACTAATGAAGAGGAAAACAACCTTTCTCCTGCCTATGAATGAGGATATTATAAACAATGACGTTTCCAGATGGATATTAGGAAACAGGTGTTTATAAGGATGCATATTTCCCTTGCGTTGTGGTTATACAGTAAAACCATTGAAAATGGGGACCTGTGTAAGGTGGAAACCTGTCAGAGAAGGAAAACGCAAATATTTTCCACTAGTAGAGAGTGGTAGAAAAGTGGTAAGACTGCTCCCTGCTGCACCCTGTCAAAGGTGGAAAACTTGCAAGGAATAAAACAAGGCAGTTCTGTTACTGATGCTAACTTAGTAATTCTTATCCAGTCTTCTTTTTTTGTTTTGTAATGTTTATGTCCTGGAAGGTAAATGTTGGTAATTTTTTAGCTTTCATCATAAAATGGGATAAACTGTAACATTTCAAAAAGGCATAAAGTGAAATGTCTTCCTCTCCTAAGCCTCAATCCCTCTATTTGTAGTATCTTTCCAGAAAAATTTTAATGCATTTACCAACATAAATATTTTCTATTTTAATGTATAGAAATACAATCTTACTATTTATACTTTTTTCAAACTTTGCTTCCCTCCCTCCCTCTGCTTAATTAAATATTTCAGAGACTGTGCAGAGCTACACATACAGACCTGCCTAAACCTTTCCCTTGGCTTGCATTATGTGTTCTATTCATAGTTAGAATATAATTATTGAATTAATCTTCTGTTGATAGACATTTGCTTTCTTATTTTTTTATTATAAACGGTAAACATCTTTACATTAAAAAATGTTTGATAAATTTTATTACCAGTCTGTTGAAAAATTGTATCTTCTTTTTGATACGAAAGAGTATTAAGATGATTTATAGTGTAAGTACCTTATTTTTAATGTTAAGATGTTTTCTTTCAAAGCTCAGCTATTGTTTATGCTCATGTTATAGTGTTGCAAAAATAAAATACGTACACCTTGAATAAATAAAAGAGAGAAAGCATTGTTGGTATTCCTATATCCAAACTAAAAGTAGAGATGACAGTATACATGTGAGAAGAGGAAACATAGGATTAGCACTGTTCTCCTAACTTAATATTGCTGCCCCTCGTCTCTGTATTCCTCTGAGTTTTCTTGTTAACCTTGCTTAAACAAATATGAAGTAGAGAATTTCTTTCTTCATGTTATTCTCACCTTAAAACTTTTAATAGTTCTCTGTTGTCCTTGTGATTAGGTTAAAAATTAGCTTGGTATTCAGAACCCTTCATAGTATATTGTAGTGAATTAAGTAGTGAATTACTTAGTATGGCTCTTCTAGCCATAGTTGTGACTCTCACATAATGATTGGGTGGGACTATGCAAATATGGTGTTAGTGGCGCAGCAGGGGGTTTGGACAGCCTGCTAAGAATGCACATGAGGTGCACGGAACCCTGCAGGGGTGGGACCATGTAAATAAGGTGTATGGAACCATAACAAGGGGATCGGTCAGTTTTGCCATTGTACTAGGCTTCAAAGAAAGCCAATCTCAGAGCAGAGGGGGACCTAACGACCACCAAGCAGAAGAGATGGGAGTGGAGTGCATCCTTTGGACCTGGGATCCCTGCGCCAAGAACCTCCTAGACCCAGGAGACAGAGAGAGCTGGAACACTGGAGACAGTGCGAGAGAGTAAGCAGCAGAGGCAGCAGACCCAGGAGACCGATGGGAGACTGCGCAGTGCTGTGTGGTGGGCTCACTGACCTTTGAAGCGAGAATGCTGAGTACCTTTGGGTTGATGCTTACTGGTGGAATGGGGTGCACCTGGGCACTTACTGACAAAGCTAAACAGCTTTGTAACACTTGCCTGAGGAGGGCAGAGGCCAGGCCCCTGCCCAGGGCCAGGGAGAGGCACAGTTGAGAAGAGGCTGTCCTGAAGAACTGTATCTTGAGTCATTTCTGATCCTGAATTGTAACTTCTTACTTCCCTAATAAACCCCATTGCAACAAATTGCAGCAGAGAAGTACAGAGTGCTGTGGAAGAATTGATAGGTTGGAGAGAAGAGGCATATCTGGCCTCATAGGAATCAGCCTTGGGCTGTTGATCTTGATTCTCCTTCCTCCTTGTGAAATTAGAGGAGATTTTTACACTGCCTTTCCATCCTCCAGCAACCCATCTTTCTTACCAGTTATCCTTAGCAGTGTTGTTCCTCTTTCACCAGTAAACTTTGTTTCCTATTTTGCACACAGACCCCTCTTTATCCATATCCTGTGTATCATTAGAGATTCCACTTTAACCTGCTACCTCCTGAAAACTTTCCCCGACTACCTCATTCTCAAGTGAATCTTCTGTCCTTTGAGCCTCTATAAAAATTTTTTTTAGTGCTTGTTTGGTAATAACATAATCATATATTGGAAATGATTGTGTAATTTTCATTGTAGCCTAAATTAATACTAAAAGGTTTTGTATCTGCCAGCTTTGGAACATTAAGAATTCAGTCAGTGTTTGATTTTATTATTTTTACTGTAGGGTCCATGAGAGAAGACCCTTGCCACTTTATATTGCATTTACTCTGAATAAGGATATGTTTGATAATGACTTTGGTTTCTTCCAAATGAAGGTCTAATAGCTGCATCCAAAAGACCCAATTAATGGTGCTTAGAGTGGAATGGGAGCCCTGGTGGTGCAGTGGTTAAGAGCTTGGCTGCTAACCAATAGGTCAGCAGTTTTAATCCACCAGCCGCTCCTTGGAAACCCTGTGGAGCAGGTCTACTCTGTCCTATAGGGTCGCTAGGAGTCAGAATCAACTCAATAGCACCGGGTTTTGGAATGGAATGTAAGGGAAGGTGCAGGGGTAGAAAATAACTAAGCTCTGCAGAGTTGTCAGAGTACTACTAGCTTACATGCAGCCTAGAATGTATCCCAGACACCCAGGCAGTAGGAGACAACCCTTCCATTTTTGTGATGACCAGATGACAAGGCTGTGTTGTGGGTATGATCTCTTGAATTAACAATGTTGACACTCAGTTCTGAGGATTCCCATCATGACTGAAAGAATTAAATTGAGGAAGACTCATTTGGGGGTCAGCCATACATATGCTGGTCATACCATAAGATATAGATACATGTAGTTATATAGCACATTTTAAGAAAGATGGTTTTGGTTCTTTTGCTGCTTTGAAGAGTTAAATTCCACTTATTTCTCATTTCAGTTCTTCTCGGTGTCCAAATGGGGATTATTGTTCCAATAGACGGTTTCAGAGAAAACAGCATGCAGATGTGGAAGTCATACTCACAGAAAAGAAAGGCTGGGGCTTGAGAGCAGCCAGAGATCTACCTTCGTAAGTTGTTTATTTCAGTCACCTTCATTTCATCTCTGTGTCATTGAACTTGGTTAGATACTTTCTAGGAAAACAATTTCTCTGTTACACTGAGTTTTAATAATGCTTATTATGCAAAATCAGCATTTCATAGCCAGATTTAAAAAAAAAGATAAATTTATACTTTTTTAGGAAATTAAAAAAATTAAAAAAGCCTCTTCTGTGTGTGTGTGTGTCTGTGTGTGTCTGTGTGTGTGTGTGTGTGTGTCTGTGTGTGTCTGTGTGTGTCTGTGTGTCTGTGTGTCTGTGTCTGTGTCTGAGTCTGATAGTTATATATCCTTTGATTCTAAGGAATTAGTAAGTGTTTGTTGTAGACCCCAGAATTCCTGTGAAGCTATATAGGTAAGAGAGTCAGGACAGAATCTATTAGTCTACATAAAAACTGAGTTGGCGTTAAAGTAGAAAACAGTAGTTGAGGTAGAGAATTAAAGAATACTTCATAGACACTCAGTAAAAATGTGTTGAATGAATAAATGTTGCCCTCCACCTAACTCATGTAACTTTTCATCTGGAATGCAGCGTAACATTGACTTTATTTTCTACCATATTCAATATATCCCTAAAACCCTTTAATTTTCTTATGTGCTGTATTTTTACACAAATAACACGTACGTTATACGTTTTTGCGTACCATGCAAACCCCCACACTTTATTTTCATAAGCACCCTGTACCAGTTTTTTTTTTTTTTTTTAACCTGTTGCTGACTTCCATTTCAATTGTTTTTTTTCTGTCCAGTGAATTTAACGTTAAGTCTTTGTCTTGGTGCCTGTTGATGCACGGAGGTTTGATTCCCAGCAGCGGACCCTCACCAGCCTACCTTCGAGTTTCTAAAGCAGCCCCTCTCCCAGCAGGATTCCTTCCTTGCTGTGCAAACCACTTTCTCCAATGCAGAAAGAAACCACTTTTTCCACCCTGAAATAGCCCTCGCCAAGGTGGCCGGCCCCAGGAAGTCTGCAGGTCTGCGTACCCCGGGCCGGAACGGCCAGTAAGGCTGGCAAGTGGCAAGGATAGCACGCCATAGCCGTGCACATTCCAGCCCGCCATGCTTGGACCGTTTGACTCTCCCTTTCACGCAGACATCTTGGGGTGGGCATGAGAGCCACAGGCACAGAGGGGTTGCGCATCTCTTGCTGGGACGAGACCTGGTGCACGCGGGGAACGGCCCTTGCCAGCCATGGGACCAGCCTGTGCTTAAGCTATGACAGCCCCATGCTCCACCCTTCACCCAACCTTCCACTTGGCTGTGATGCGACCTACCAGGGTGCAAATAGGCTACAAGTCTGGCTGCGAACTGCCCCAGGGGAAACGTACAGTTTCAATTTTTTATTTTCAGATTACTGGGGTTACTACCAAAGTTGATCCATGACTTCTTGACCATGCATTATAACTTTATTATACAAATTTGATCAAAAGTAACATTTTTGTACTGTTGAATGAAGGTGAGTGAGGCTGAAATTCACTTCTGGAAATGCCATGAGACATGCATGGTGTATGCCTGGATGCGCTATGCCAAAACATTTTTTACAGAATTTTGTCATTCTCGCATGATGCACGTGTGTGTGACTTACCCATTGGAAATAACTTTTTTTTTTTTTTAAACAACAAACGGCAACTGTACATGTGGACCTTGCCAGATGGGGCGTACACAGGAATCAAATCAACCGTATCTGTGGAAAGAGACAATGAATAAGCTCAATATCATCAGTCAGAAGAAGACCAGGGGCCGACAGCAGAACAGACCATGAGTTGCTCATATGCAAGTTCAAGTTGAAGCTGAAGAAAATTAAAACAAGTCTGTGTGAGCCGAAGTACAGCTTTGGTATATCTCACCTGAATTTAGAGACCATCTCAAGAGTAGATTTGATGCATTGAACACTAAAGACTGAAAACCAGGCAAGTTGTAGCACGACACCAAGGACATCATGAAGAAAGCCAAAGGTCATTAAAAAGACAGAAAAGAAAAAAATACCAAATGGATTGAGAAGAGACTCTGAAACATGCTCTTGAATGTAGAGTAGCTGAAGTGAAGGGAAGAAATGATGAAGGAAAAGAGCTGAACAGAAGATTTCAAAGGGTGGCTCGAGAAGACAACGTATAATGAAATGTGCAAAGACCTGGAGTTAGAAAATCGAAAGGGAAAAACACATTTGGCCTTTCTCAAGCTGGAAGAACTGAAGAAAAAATTCAAGTCTTGAGTTGCAATATTGAAGGATTCTATGGGCAAAATATTGAATGATGCAGGAAACATCAAAAAAAGATAGAAGGAATACAGAGTCATTGTAACAGAAAGAATTGGTCGACGTTCAGCTGTTTCAGGAAGTAGCATATGATCAGGAACCAGTAGTACTGAAGGAAGAAGTTAAAGCTGCACTGAAGGCATTGGCAAAAAACAAGACCATAGGAATTGACAGAATACCAACTGAGATGTTTCAACAAACGGTTGCAGTGCTGGAAGTGCTCACTCGTCTTTGCCTAGAAATTTGGAAGACAGCTACCTGGCCGACTGACTGGAAGAGATCCGTATTCGTGCCCATTCCAAAGAAAGATGATCCAGTGGAATGTGGAAAGTATACAAAAATATTATTAATATCACATGCAAGTAAAATTATGCTGAAGATAATTCAAAAACAGTTGCAGCAGTACATTGACAGGGAACTGTCAGAAATTGAAGCTGGATTCAGAAGAGGACGTGGAATAAGGGATATCATTGCTGATGTCAGATGGATCCTGGCTGAAAGCAGAGGATACAGAAAGATGTTTACCTGTGTTTTATTAACTATGCAGAGGCATTAGACTGTGTAGATCATAACAAATCATAGATAATACTGCAAAGAATGGGATTCCAGAACACTTAATTGTGCTCATGCGGAACCTGTACATAGACCAAGAGGCAGTTTTTCAAACAGAACAAGGGGATACTGCGTGGTTTAAAATCAGGAAAGGTGTGCGTCAGGGTTGTATCCTTTCACCACACTTAGTCTGTATGCTGAGCAAAAAATCCAAGAAGCTGGACTGTATGAAGAAGAATGGGGCGTTAGGATTAGAGGAAGACTCATTAACAACCTGCAGTATGCAGATGACACAACCTTGTTTGCCAAAAGTGAAGAGGACTTGAGGCACTTACTGATGAAGATCAGAGATTATAGCCTTCAGTATGAATTACACCTTAATATAAAACAAAAATCCTCACAGCTGGACCAATAAGCAATATCATGATAAATGGAGAAAATATTGAAGTTGTCAAGAATTTCATTGTACTTGGATCCACGATCAATGCCCATGGGCGCAGCAGTCAGGAAATCAAACGATGTATTGCATTGGGCAAATCTGCTGCAAAAGACCTCTTTATTTTATTTATTTATTTAAATTTGGCATTTACTTTTTTTAATTGGAGTTTATGGGAAAGTTTACAATTCAAGTTAGTCTCTCATACAAAAATTTATACATATGTTGTTATGTAACTCTCAACTGCTCTCCCTATACTGTGACAGCACACTCCTCCTTTCCACCCCTGATTTCCTGTGTCCATGCAGCCAGCTCCTGACCCACTCTGCCTTCTCATCTCACCTCTGGACAGAAGATGCCCATTTAGTCTCATGTATCTACTTGAGCTAAGAAGCATACTCTTCACGAGTATCATTTTATGTCCTGTAGTCCAGTCTAATCTTTGTCTGAAGAGTTGACCTTGGGAATTGTTTTAGTGCTGGGTTGACAGAGAGTCCGGGGGCCATGCGCTTTGGGGTTCCTCCAGTCTCAGACCATTAAGTCTGGTAAGACCTCTTTAAAGTGTTAAAAAGCGAAGGTGTCACTTTGAGGACTAAGGTGCACCTGACCAAAGCCATGGTATTTTCAGTCATCTCATATGCATGTGAATGCTGGCCAGTGAACAAGGAAGACTGAAGAAGGATCAATGCCTTTGAATTACTGTGTTGGTGAAGAATATTGAATATACCACGGACTGCCAGAGAAGAATGAACAAATCTGTCTTGGAAGAAGTATAGCCAGAGTGCTGCTTAGAAGAAGGGATGTCAAGACTTGGTCTCACGTACTTTGGACATATTATCAGGAGAAACCAGTCCCTGGAGAAGGGCATCATTCTTGGTAAAGCAGAGGGTCAGTGAAAAAGAGGAAGACTTCAACGAGATGGATTGACACAGTGGCTGCAACAGTAGGGTCAAACATAGCGATGATTGTGAGGATTGTGCAAGACCAAGCAGTGTTTTTTTCTGTTGTACATAGGGTCGCTATGAATCAGAACCGACTTGACGGCACTTAACAGCAACAAGAAGTATGTATGTGTGCGCTGTTTATGTGGGTGTGCGTTTGTGACAAATACGGTGTAGCATGTTAAAGTATTCTTTTAAGAATATGCAAGTTGAGTGCCTTTAAAGTTAAATATATACAAATTACATGTGTTTATGATTGAAAATTAAAAAGTATATCAAAGGAATTAAGAGAATAAAACATTTGCTGTATTCTAATAACTTAGGCACAGCTATTCTTTCAGAACCCTCTTAAGCATATGGACACACTTGGATTGAATTGGGGAGGGGTTATTAGTCTGTTTATTGCAAGGATCAAAGCAACCAGGTAACAAATAGAATAGTTTATTCTTCTGACAGAAATTCTCATATATAAATATACATACATATATATATATATGTATATTTTATTGTGCTTTAAGTGGAAGTTTACAGTTCAAGTCAGTGTCTCATACAGAAATTTACACACACACTGCTACGTGACTCTAGCTGCTCTCCCTATAATATGACAGCACGTTCCCCCTTTTGACTACGAATTTCCCGTGTCCATTCCACCAGCTCCTGTCCCTTTTTTCCCTCTCATCTCACCTCTGGACAGGAGCTGTGCATCTAGTCTCATGTATCTTCATGTATTTTTTATTTTTTTAGAAATTAATTCATTGAGAAGAAATTTATATAACATGAAATTAACTGTTTTAAAGTGAATGATTCAGTGGCATTTAGTACATTCACTGTGCTATGTAACCACCACTTGTATCTAGTTCCATAATATTTCCATCACTCCAAAGTAAAACCCTTAACTCGTTAAGCAATTTCACCCCATTCCCACCCCTACTCCCTGTTCCTGACAAGTACCACGCTGTGTTCTGTCTCTGGATTTATTTATTCTGGATATTTCCTATAACTGGAGTTATACAATACATGGTTTTTGTGTCTGACTTCTTTCATTTAACATGTTTTAGAGGTTCATCTACATTATAGCATGGGTGAGTCGTACATTTCTTTTTATTGTTGAATAATATTCCATTGTATGTTTGTACTACAATTTGTTCATCCATTCATCTGTTGATAGACATTTGGGCTGTTCTCACCTTTTGGCTATTGTGAATAATCCTATGAAAATGCCTTTGCATGTATTTGTTTGAGTACTTATTTTTAATTCTTTAGGGCATATACCTAGGTGTAGAATTGTGGGATCATATGGTAATTCTACATTGAACTTTTTGAGGAACTGCCAAATTATTTTCCATAGTGGCTGGACCAGTGTGCATTTGCACCAGCAATGTACAAGAGTTCCAATTTATCCACAACCTTGCCAACACTTATTTTCTGGGTTTTTTCCCCCGTAAATAGCCATTCTACCAAAAGAACTGAACCAGTTACTGTAGAGTTGATTACAACTCATAGCGACCCTGTAGAACAGAGTAGAACTGCCCCATAGTGTTTCCAAGGAGTGGCTGGTAGATTTGAATTGCTGACCTTTTGGTTAGCAGCCAAGCACTTAACCACTCTGCCACCAGGGTTCCAGTAGCCATCCTAGTGAGTGGGAAGTGATACCTTATTATTGGTTTTGATTTGCATTTCCCTAATGACTAATGATGTTGAGCATCTTTTCATGTTGGCCATTTGTTTATTTTCTCTGTAGAAATGTTTATTCATGTCCTTTGGCCCATTTTTTAATTGGGTTGTTTGTCTTTTTGTTGTTGAATTGTAAGAGTTCTTTATATATTCTGTACCCTTATCAAATAGATGATTTGCAAGTATTTTCTCCTGTAGGTTGTCTTTTCACATTCTTGATAATGTTCTTTGATGCACAAATGTTTTTAATTTTGATAAAGTCCAATTTATATGTTTTTCTTTTGTTCTTTGTGATTCTGGTGTCATATTTTAGAATTGTTGCCAAATTCTGAATCATGAATATTTAGTCCTATTTTTTTCTTCTTCATTGTTGAAAACTAAGTCTGAAGCATTAGCCCTATATTTTGTTCTAAGAATTTTACTGTTTTCGCTCTTATACTTAGGTTGTTGTTCCATTTGAGTTAATTTTTGTATATGATGTGAGGTAGGGGTCTACTTTCTTTTGTGATTGGATATCCAGTTGTCCCAGCATCATTTGTTGAAGTGACTTCTTTCCTCCATTCACTGAATGATCTTGACACCATTGTCCAAAATCAATGGACCTTAGCTATATGGTTTATTTCTGAACTCTCATTTCTGTTCCATTTGTCTATATGTCTATCCTCATTCCAGTACTACTCTTTTGTAATTGTGATTTTGTAGTAAGTTTTGAAACTGGGAAGTGTGAGTCCTCCAACATTGTTGTTTTTCTTCAAGATTATTTTGACTATTTGGACTAGGCCCCTTGTAATTCCCTAGGACCCTGGTGGTGCAGTGGTTAAGAGCTCAGCTCCTAACCAAAAGGTCAACAGTTTGAATCTTCCAGCCGCTCCTTGGAAACCCTGTGGGGCAGTTCTACTCTGTCCTATAGGGTCGCTATGAGTTGGAATCAACTTGATGGCAATGGATAAGTTAGTAATTCCCTGTGAATTTGAGAATACTGTATAGGGTGTGATTCGCTCATTATTGCATTTAATTGATAAGACAGTCCATGATGTAAGAGGTGGCATTTTTCTTTCTCTCATTTTTCTTTTTTAAACTGAGCCTAAAGGTGGAAAATCCAACATTATAGGACCTCAAATCTTATTGCCTTTCTACAACATTATATATAAGATGTAATTTGACTTTTCAGGGTTGTCCATGAATAATCAGATTTTGATTATTGAGGCTTAATGTGTTTGTGATAGATTGCTGCACAAATGCAATTATAGCCAGTATAAAATTCCTTAATCTTGTTTTTGAGATTAGCTTTTTTAACATAATTGTTCTTTTCTCATTCTCTGTTTTACTATTATAATACGTACATAACAACACATACAATAATTCATTAGTTTCTACATCTACATTTTAGTGACATTGATTACATTTTTCAAGTTGTGCAATCATTTTCACTCTCTTCTTCTAAATCATCCCACCATCATTAACATATTTTTAATGCACTCTAAGCAAAAACTCCTTCTTTCCCCCTCCTTCCTGCCTCTGGTAACTACTGATTACTTTTGGTTTCTATATATTTTCTTATTTCATATAAGTGATGTCATACAGTATTTGTCCTTTTGTGTCTGACTTATTTTGCCCAGCATAAAGTCCTCAAGGTTGATCCGTGATGTGGCTTGCATCAGAACTTCATTCCTCTTTATGGCTGAGTGATATTCCATTGTCTCATTCATTTTTAACTGCTTTATTTACTAAACAAAGGGGATTTAAATTTTTTCAGTTGTCCTGTTCCTTTAATGAGTATATTGATATGTCAGTATGTTGTGAACAGATACAAATGATTTACATTTTCTTAGCACTCTAGAGTTAAGCTTTGTTTATTTTAAGGGGCTAACAGAAGACTCCCAGGCAGGCCATTTCAGGTCAGAACTTGGGAGCAAAGCAGTGAGGCATTTGTCTACATGGAAATAATACACCTACTCCTCACTATCTCATTATCCAACATTTTGCATTTACGACAGTAGTGAAAAAATCTACTGTCCTGTTATTTTGCACATTAAGAATGTACATCTGGCAGTAATAAACAGGCCCTGCAGCATCTCAGGTCACTTGCTTGGCAACCGCACTCAGCAGCAGCGTCTCCCAGGCAGGGGATAGGTCGGTGTGGCCCTTCTTGGCAGAGGCAGCTGTACTGGAGAGGGAGGAGGGAGACAGGTCTCCACTATTTCTGTGTGGCCGACTAGGGGATCAAGCGTGATGGGATCATGTCCAGTAGGTACTTGCACTGGCAGTTGATGGTTGAGGATGCCTTGTGCACTGCGAGGGCCAAGCAGACAAAGGCAAGGGCCCTGCCTGCACTCAGGACCACCTCTTCCAGTCAAGGGTGGTGCTGCCCTTGCTAGCGCCTACAGCCCTCTCAGAATGCTTACTGATCCTGTTGCGAGGGCCGCAACTGTGTTCTGCAGTTTGGGTAACTGGCTGAAGGTGTGCAGGACCCTGTGGGATGTTGCAGCAGGGTCCCGGGACAGCTGGCTAGGGGTGTGTAGCTCGGTCCTGTAAGTCCAGTTGCATGCCTTTCCTGTGCGGAAAGCTGCCTTATGCCAGGGCTTAATGACCTGCTTGAGTGTGGGGTGTGACGTGGTGGTGGGCTCTGCCTTTAACTCCATTTCTGCATAAGGACGATTTTCACATAATGGCCTGGTCTTTGGAACCTATACATTTCCGTAAGTGAGTAATGGGTGTCGTTGAAGGCATTGATGAGAATGAGCTTTTAGAGAATTAAGGGAGGGGAAAGAGAACTGAGAATTTAATATCTTCAGTAAAGAAGAAATAGGTAAATAACCAACGAAAGAAAATCAGAGGTATAGTGTAGTCAAAAGAAGGCAAAGAGAGAGAGTAATCATAATGATAAATGCTGGAGAAGTCACAAAATGCAGTCAGAAAGAAAATATTAGGTTTGACCTTTAACATCATTAGAGACCTTCAAGAGAAAAGGCAGCAAAAGGCTGCTATATTTATTTAAGTTGCCTTTTTTTCCCTAGAACGTAAAGCCTTTAATTTTCTAATGCCTCCAGATTTCTTCAGAACTGTTTCTCAGCTGTGAATCACTGTTTTCATGATGTTTAAAACCAAACTTGAATGTTCGTTTTAATATCTAGCTGGAGCAAGGATATGCGTTTGGTAGTATATATAAATTACAAAAGCTTCTTAGAATCACCAGGAGAAAATTAACTTTGGTTAGGTGCTAGCTATTTTATACACATTTTAATTATGTATTACATAACATCAAAGTTAACCACTTTGTAATCTTTCCTCAAATTCATTATTTTTGCCTGGATTATATGTGTTTTCCATATAGCTCATCTTCAAGAAGTGCTATTATTTTTTTACTTTGGTTTTGCAGGAACACCTTTGTCCTGGAATATTGTGGAGAGGTACTTGATCATAAAGAGTTTAAAGCCCGGGTGAAGGAGTACGCGCGAAATAAAAACATTCACTACTATTTCATGGCCCTGAAGAATGATGAGGTAAGCAGCATGGATGTGTTTGCTTTGAAACAGATCTGGAAATTGTCGAGTTTGAAAGCATTGTTGATACTAATCTCTAAAATAGGTGACAAAAATGAGGAGTAGAATTTTATGCATATGTGCTTCATGAATGCGTAGAACAGAGGTTCTCAGATTTTTAAGTCTCAGAACCCTTTGCAACTCTTTAAAATTATTGAGGACCCTCAAAGAGCTTTTGTTATATTTATCAATATTTACCATATTAAAAATTAAAACTGAAGTTTTGTTGCATTTTTACAAATCTTTAATGTTTGTCTTAATGGAATTCAGCTAGAATTTCATGTCTGCCTTTGTATTCAATTGTTTGTGATATCATGCTTTGTATAACCTTTGGAAAATTGCACTCTATGCTTCCATGCCGCATTGTGAGAGAATAGGCATGAAAAGGCAAATAACGTCTTACTATTGTAATGAAAATAGTTTTAATTATATGGGCATCCTGAAAGGATCTAGGGGATCCTTGGGGTCTTGGAGAACCTCTGGTAAGAGGGAAACTTGTGGATCTGAGATGGAAAGGTGTATATTCCTCACTTAGCATGCCCTATTGTACTTTAAAAAAAAAAAAAAAGTTTAAACACATTACTTCAGTTTTTAAAAAATGACTTTACTGAGAGTTCCTCTGGTAGTCAGTAAAATTTGATAGGTCAAAAAGAAGAGGAACTGTTTGAAAACAGAATGAATATGTGAAAAGGGGAGGATGGGATATTGTTTATTAGGAGTAGAGTGGTGGAGAGTCCAGTAGGAATTGACAGTGAATGCTTAGCACAAAGAGATAACTGTGTAAATGTGTGTTGAAAAGATTTTTTTTTGGTTAGAGATATAAAAATGAGGTTTTAGCCAAGGTTAAGCTCATGTAGATTTGCATATTTAACTGCTCTAAAAGATAAATTGGAGGTTGAGTCATAATAATGCTTAAGGAATGTAACCATTCCTTAAACTCAGCCGTTTTTGGGAGCAGATAACACATTACACATTTATGAGACTTAATAATTCTTCTGAGGATTTTCCAGAAAACTTACCTTTTTTCAGTCAGTAAGTTTTAATATTGGAAAATGTTGGCACATACAATATTTCCTTGAGATTGTTGTTGAATACTTTCATTTATTAAGTTGTATAATTACAGCAAATTGATACAGAACAGTTGTTAATCAGATGATATTTATTGGTTGGCCATGTGTAATGCTCAGCTGATACTTTTACATAAAGACACATTTCTAGGTGAGGCAGAAGTTCTAACTTTCTTCATTGCTTTTTTTGTTAAATGGATGGAAAGGGAATTTGCAAGGTTATCTTTAGAAATTGTCAAAAATTCAATGAAATTGAAAAGAAAATTGGTATTTTAAAAGAGAGTAAGGAGAAGAAATTATGTTTATAAACAATATGCTGCTCCTTTGTAATATCACAGTGGGTGGAGTTGGGATGAAATTGGCAGCCTCTTTGTAGTTTTTCCATTATATATTAAGAAAAATGTACTCTTGGTAGCAGAATGTAATTTGAACTGCAGAACAGCGGTCTATGACAGGGACTCTCAGAGTGTGGTCCCTGGACCAGCAACAGCAGCTTCACCTGGGAACTTGTTAGAAATGCAAATTTTAGGGACTGTGGAATCTTAACTCTGGGAGTGGGTTCAGCAGGAGTTTTAACTGTTCTCCTGGGGATTTGGATACATGCTCAAGCTGGAGAGCTACTGCACTGTGATATGATGTACTTTAAAAGATGTTTTACACACATGAAGTGAGATTGCAGTGTAATAGAATGTAAGAAATAACTAAAAGTAAATTGAGAGAGACATTGATAGTTATCAGGATAATTTTGCCTGTAGGTTAAATGTTTATAGTTAGCAAATATTCCAGAGAAAGCAGTGACATTTTCGCTTTGATATATAAAGTAGTATGAGAGAATTCTCTAAAGCAGAGGGTTGGGAGAAAAGTCTTAAATTTACCTTAATGTTTTTCTTTAGTAAAATGGGGAAAAAGAAATATATATATATTTTAAGGTCTCATTTTTTAACTCTTGAATTACCCCTTTTCCCCCAGATAATAGATGCTACTCAGAAAGGAAATTGCTCACGTTTCATGAATCACAGCTGTGAGCCAAACTGTGAGACTCAAAAAGTAAGTTGAGGTAGATTGAGAGTTTGGGATATTTGTTCAAGATTACTGTTCTGGCCATTAATTTTAGATCTTTTATCAAAAGTGCTCATGAACTTTATTTTCTAATATATTTTTTCTATTCTTTATTTTTTAATTAATTTAGATTTCTAAAAAAAAAAGTGGCTAACTAGTACAGAGTTCCCATATACCCTTCACCTAGCTTCCCTAAATGTTAACATCTTATATAACCCTAATACAGTTACCAAATCCAGGAAATAATATTAACTATTAACTGATGTAAAGACCTTGTTCAAATTTTACCAGCTGTCCCCCTCATATCATTTTTCTGGTGCAGGATCCAATCTAGGAACCCATTTAGTTGTTACATCTCCTTGCTCATACATTTTTGATATTATTTCAAAGGTGCCAAAATGGAAAACTAAATTTTCATTTTAGTGAAGTCCAGTGTATGCTGTCTTATTTGTATTCTTTAACAGCTTCCTTCCAGGTGCCAAATCTAACAGTTTTAATAATACTCATGAGGGATTGAGCAGTCACAGATGAGAGGCATTGTGGATGGTGTACATGTGGGTACACTGCTCCTCCTCAAGGCTAAGCTTTGAGTCTTATCTTTGTGGCCCCGCCACATAGTTGACACTTGATAAATCCATTTATTGAATTTTTTTCCCCTAAATTTTGTTTTGTTGTTGAGAATATACATAGCAAAACATATACCAATTCATCAATTTCTACATGTATAATTTAGTGACATTGATTACATTCTTGAGTTGTGCAACCATTCGCACCCTCGATTCTGCTTATCTTGATTCAAAGAATCTAAAGACTGGAAGGGTCACCAGCCTCTCTCTCCCTCTTTCCCTTTCTCTCTCTGTCTTTCACACACACAGGTGCACACACGCGCACTGTAATACTGTAGTGCCATGGGTTGTATGTTCAGAGCAACATATGAACATGTTGTTAGCTGCCGTCCAGTCGTCCTTGACTCCTTGTACAACGGAACAAAATGCTGCCAGGTCCTGCACCATATTCATGATTGGCTGGGGATCAGATCGTTGTGATCCATAGGATTTTTGTTGGCTGATTTATCAGATGTAGATTGCCGGGCTTTTCTTCCTGGTCCATCTTAGAAGCTCCACTGAAAGCTGTTGAGCATTATAGCAACACACAAGCCTCCACTGGAGGAGGGGTAGTGGCTTGCATTCATTTATTGAATTTGATATAACATTTTGAGATGATAATTTTATTATTCCCCAATTTGTGTTTTGAGTTTGATTTTTAAAAAGTGTATATATTAGAACAATGGTTCTTAAGTTTTTTAGGTTAAGAAAGTTATAGACCCACACCCCAGAAAATATACATTAATGATTCCCGCCCATATTGAAACAGTGTTTTTGGCTTTGTATATTTTTTGCCCTTTGATCTGTACATTAACAAATTTTATATGTGGTTCTACATCCTTGTCTTCTAAGAGCCAAATAATATGATAAGTAGGACAACCCAGTCTGAGAATCATTTAACCTAACTTCCAGTTCTAGTTCTGCCGGCAGCTGATTGCCGGGTCTAGCTGTGAGACTCCCACTGTACTGTGTTCCTTCATCTCTCTTAAGTCTGGAGTTTTTCATCAGTAACAGGTGCAAGTGGCTTGCACTGCTGCTGTCTAGTCTTTGACTTGCTTACATGTTCTGTAACTACAGGGTGTAACCCTATAATGTATCTGACCCCATTTAATTCTGGAGTTTTATGACTGATGCCTCACCTCCTTTCACTGCACTCAACCATATGACCGCTGCTTCATGAAATTAAACTTTTGGCATCAGTCTTTCCCTGGTTCCATGCCCTGTTTTGTCTTTTCTCTGTAATAGAATGGTTGACTAGAACATGATTAATACCTGAGTTAGCATAATATAAGTTAGTATAAATTTGCCGGTGATACCCAGTGATACCAAGCATTCTCCATTTGCCTAGTGAATCTTTATGTGTGGAAATCTATATTAAGATAAAATAGCAGTTACTTTTGTTAGAGACACATTATTTTATATATATATATTCGGTCTGGTAGTCCATTAAGTAAGAGTAACACCTAAATATGTTACTTTATTTAAATAAAACATTTCCCATTTGCCATTTGGCAGCCTTTTATTGCCTAAAGAGACATGTATAATTAAGGCAGATGGTGACGTTTTTTAAAAAAAATAAAAAAGGTTAATGGACCACAACTGCCACAGCCTTCACCAGACTGAGTTCAGTACAACTAGACGGTGCCAGACTGCTCTGGCAGGGATCACGACAGAGGGTCCCGGACAGAGCTGGAGAAAAATGTAGAACAAAATTCTAACTCACAAAAAAAGACCAGACTTACTGGCCTGACAGAGTATGGCCCCCGGACACCCTTTTAGCTCAGTAATGAAGTCACTCCTGCGTTTTACCATTCAGCCAAAGATTAGACAGCCCCATAAAACAAAACGAGACTAATGGGGCACAACAGCCCAGGGACAAGGACTAGAAGGCAGGAGGGGACAGGAAATCTGGTAATAGGGAACCCAAAGTTGAGAAGGGACAGTGTTGACATGTCATGGGTTGTTAACCATTGTCATAAAACAATATGTGTACTGTTTTTTGAGAAAGTATTTGTTCTGTAAACCATCTAAAGTACAATTAAAAAAAAAAAAATAAATAATAAAAATAAAAAAGGTTAATCAGTTATTGATTTCTTTTCTTTTAAAAACAATATCTCAGTGGACTGTGAATGGACAACTGAGAGTTGGGTTTTTTACCACCAAACTGGTTCCTTCAGGATCAGAGTTAACATTTGACTATCAGTTCCAAAGATATGGGTAAGTCCTGTTTCCACTTGTTTTACTGCTTCTGATGGGGAAATAAGCTGGGCTCAGCTCTAAAGATAAAAAAACTTTGTTGTGAATTATTTAGAAGGTATATTTATTATCAACTCTTACCCATAGTATACTGTTTTTCCTTTGTGTGTTTTTCCTACTGTATGACACTCCTGGCCACTAAGAGATATTATACAAGAACTACCTAATTTCCCTCTGAACTTCATGCTCTTATTTATATAATTAATGTTACTAATTAATTTTTAAAAACTTTTATTATAGAAATGTCGTGTATGTATGTATGTAAAGAGAATAGTATAAGAAATCCTGTGTATCCATCCAACTGTATTCGTATCGACCCTATAAGACAGAGTAGAACTGCCCCTTAGGGTTTCCAAGGCCATAATCTTTATGGAAGCAGATTGCCACATCTTTCTCCTGTGGAGTGGCTGGTGAGTTTAAACTGCCAACGTTTTGGTTCACAGCTGAGCACTCAACCACTGCGCCACCAGGGCTCCTTCTGTTTGTTACAGTTGGAGGGAACCTATGATTTTGAAAAGTATTTAAAAATAAAAAAAGAATCAAGCATTTATTCTGTCTTTCCCATGTGAATGGTGCTTTAGGGTAAACCAAATAATTGATGAGAGGAAATTCTTTATAGAGGTAGTCCAGCTTTAAGTGAAGTACTAATGATATCGCCATTTTGCAATCTGATGAACTAACGGATCTAGGCAATGATCATTAGTGGCTGCTTGATGGAAGAACACAATACCACCTGTGAAATAGTCTTGCTAAAAGAAGTTGAATTGATTCATAATAAATATAACAAAAAAAAAAAAAAATGAAACCTGTTGCCATTGAGTCGATTCTGACTCATAGCGACCCTATAGGACAGAGTAGAACTGCCCCATAGGGTTTCCAGGGGGTGGCTGGTGGATTTGAACTGCTGACCATTTGGTTAGCAGCTGAGCTCTTAAATCACTTCACCACCAGGGCTAGGAAACAGAAACGAATTAAATGACACTACAGGGATGCAGTCAACAAAATTCAGACTTCGGGAAACTCAGTAAGACAAATGAAGTGGCTTTTTAAATAAATTGTAAGAAAAACAAAGATGGGGAGGTAAACCTAAAGATTATTAAGAGACATATTGTGATGTTTGAGACTTGAGAATAAATTAATGGTTAATTTATTGGCTAAGTATTTGATTTAACAGTGAAAATTTGAATGTTCAGTGGATTATTTGTTATCAAGGAATTATTAATTTCTTAACATGATAATAGTATTGTGGTTATGTTTAAAAAATAAGTCCTACAGATGCATCTTGAAATATTTATAGATGAAATGATGTATCTGGGATTTGCTTTAAAATAATGTGGGCTGGAGATAGACAGTGGATCGTGTATAAAGTGAAAAAAAGATTGGTTGTGAATTGATAATTATCAAAACTGAATGATGGATTCATTATACTCTTCTCCCTATTCTTGAATGTTTGAAATTTTCCATATTAAAGCATTTGAAAAAAGTGAAATAAAAATACTATAAATTCATAGGCAAATGCTAGCTCTAATTTTGTGTCTTCCTTCTTAGCCTAGGTGGCCAGTGAGATCTCTTGTGAGTGAGCTCTACTGTCATCTCCTGTAACTTACAGCATAGTGTCACTTCTACCCTTTCCCTGCCCCATTTAAATTAAAATTGTTAATAAAATGGAGCTTTATGTAGTTTCTTTTTTTTCCCATTAGTTTTTTATCTTCTCTGGGTCTCAAGGCCCAGTGCCTTGCACAACATAATTTCTAATTAAGAAATTAATATAAAAGAGGGAAAATTCAAAATAAGGTACAGAACTCTGAAGTTTTATCATTATATATACATGCATTGGTAGCTTCTGGTATTTATGCTAAAAAGCACCACAGATGCAGAGTTTCCTGGGTATTTTAATCCTCTTAGTGCTACCATATAACAAGAATTTAATTATTCTACTGTATACAAAGTCTGGTATCAGTCACTGGTACTCTGGTAGGGAAGCTGTTTCAGATACTCCTGCGTATTATTTATGCTTCGTATCTGAGAACTTAGTGAGCTCTGAGGTTCTTCCAACTCTGAATATGATACTGATTATGATCTAGTACAGGCACCAAATGGTTAGTTCCCATTGTGACTGTTTTTCTTGGCATGTATTCAGGGAATGAGTGCAGACCAGGTTCTGTGTAGAGTGTATAGGACTCTTTTGTGTCTATACTGACTTCCTTGAAGGGAGGGAAACTGGAAATCAAGTACTGTTTGTGATTCCCTGCTGTATTTATTGAACAATTTATTTTTGTGCCTCTGATTACTGCTGTCATATACTAAGTCTGTCAGTTTACTTTTAGAATAGTCCTTCATGTTTTCTTCAGGTACCTCTGGTCATAGAGTTAATAAATGGCAAAGGTGACTTCTACCCAGGCCTGTAGACTTAGGCCTGTGTTCTTTCCACCACTCTCCCTTGCTTCCGTGGTTACATTTATTTATTGCAGTATTTATTATTACAGTATCTCATCCTTCTGTGATGACAGGTTTTAATAATCAAATATTTCCTTTTAAGTATCCTGTACTAATAATACATTTTATATCTGTTTATAGTAATGTGTTTTATCTGTTGTATGTGCCAGCTGAACATTTACATACCAGTAATAGATGTCTAAGCTGTTTAAGCAAGTTTGTTCTTAGACCACGTATGTATGTGAGTTTTACTATTATACATCAGTAAGTACTTTCATAAAATGGAGAAATTATTAAGTTTTTGGATAGTTTTGCCTAGCCAATAAAGGAAGATTGGAAAAAGAACAAATGTTTTAAGAGCGGTTTTTAGATGCTTCCATTAGATGGTATCAGATTCGTTGGAGTTTCTTAAAACTTTTTTTTTTCTTTGGCTAGGAATGACTTATCTCTTTAATATAATTGTTAGATTGTTGACCTTTTTAAATGGTTTACTTCCACATAACTGACTTCCTTTTTATGCTTCCTGAACAGAAAAGAGGCTCAGAAATGTTTCTGTGGGTCAGCTAATTGCCGAGGTTACCTGGGAGGAGAGAACAGAGTCAGCATTCGAGCAGCAGGAGGGAAAATGAAGAAGGAGCGATCCCGTAAGAAGGATTCAGTAAGTATTCCATCCTTCCTTCAACTTTCACAATATACATTTTAAGAAGGAAGGTAACTTTTTTCATGGAAGTTTTAAAAAGTCAAACTATTACCAAAGAAATTCAGGATCAGATGAGATGTTACTGGAAAAGAAGTATGGTTGCAATTTTAGGTTCATAGAAATTAGAATTGGGTTTTGAGAACTATTTATCTTGAAAACACCTGGGTAAATTGTTTTTCAGAGCCTGTAAAACTCCTAAGTATAAATACAGTGTTCATCCTGTTGCTCCGTTAGCTCAATTAAGTTGGGTCTACATTCCTAATGTTTAAATATTGGTTTGGCTTTTGTTTGGAACTCTAAACTTGGAATATGTTCTTAAAATCCCTGGAAACTCTCTTTGAAATACAAGGTGAGTTTTGAGAGGCAACAGGCAACGTAAGAATGAGAAAGGAATAATGTCAGATGGTTTTTTCATTTAATACATTAGAACAGTAGTTGATGGCCTTTTTCTACCCTAGCTCATCTGAGTTACTACAGAGTGGGAGGAGGGAGGAATCCTGTTACTAAAGGGAGTCTCAACTAGCACATGTATTTTCTATAGTTTAAAAAAATTTGCCCTCCCTTTTCTGAGGATCAGTTCACCAGAACAATATTTTTCAAAGTGTGATCCTTAGATCACCTGCCTCAGAGCCACCTAACAGGGTGTGTAGTGGGTGTGTAGTAAAAATACATATTTCTGGGCCCTTCTTCAGACCTATGCATCTTAGCGGAAGTGTTCAGGGAGGAGTTAGGGGTGTTAGCAACTCCCCCTATGATTCTTTTGCAGTTACCTCATTCCTAGACTTTTCAGGAACCAATACTGTTAAGAATTATAAATGATAACAATCTTACTCTTCAGTTGAGGAGACAGAAGACATAACTGGGGGAAAGGGTAAAAGTATAATGCTTGCAGGTAAGCCCCAATTAATTTGAGATTATTTATGGAGGATCTGAATTCTGTAAGAAGACATAGATAGCAAAAAGCATTGGAAAGGGCCATTTAAAAAATGCAAAAAAGGACAGTTTATAGCAAATACCCGGTTTCTCACTACCCAAGATGAACAACTAGCCTTGGTTGTTTGTTGCCGTTGAGTCGATTCCGACTCATGGTGACCCTGTGTGTGTCGGAGAACTCTGCTCCAAGGGGTTTTCAAGGCCATGACCTTTCGGAAGCAGATCGCCAGACCTGTCTTCCAAGGCACCTCTGGGTGGGTTCGGACTGCCAACCTTTTGGGTAGTAGTCGAACACTTAACCATTTGCGCCAAAAAATGGTCTTTAGATAATCATGTTTACTTCAGCTCTCTTTAGATGATGCTGATAATAATGCTAGCAGGCAATATATATAGTGTAACTGTGTGCCAAGCAGTCTTCTAAGCACTTGACACCTTAACTCATTGAATTTTCACAATAATCTCATAAGTCAGTTATAATAATTTTCCTGCCTTTACAGATGAGAATAATAAGGTACAGATGGAAATGAGCTTCAGTCTGGCCCTTATTTCATGTAATTGATAGTTTGCCAAAACAGCTACAAAATAGTTATTAAGCACATTGACCTAAGCTAAAATCTCCATAAAAACTTCCCAATGGCTATTTCCTGTTACTGAAGCTTACAGAGTAATCACATTTTTAAAGCTATTTTATTGGTGGGGAGTATCCTGATAATATGATGGATTTTTGGACACTGTTATAACCTACATCATACTTGTATCAAGTGGCTTTCTGCCTTCCTGACAAGAATGTTGATTGATTTAAGGACAGCCCTAAGAGACGAAGGCCTAGGTTTTCCCATTTTTGTTTGTTTGCTTGATCTTTATTCTGGTAATGGTGTGTGCATTTCAGGATAAGCCTTTGTATTTTGGACTGAATTAGGTGTAGAGCATATAGCCAATGATTTGGTGGGCTGAAGTCATAGGTTGCTCCAGATATGAACTTGAAGTTATTCTGGAACAAGAACGTTTTGGATGAAACTTTACCCAGATGAAGGAATGACCCAGAATGAATTTATGCTCCTAGAGTTATGTGAAGAGTCATTGCCTTTGACTCTAATGAAGAGAGTATCACTCTAGTTACATTTACTTGGGATTGTCTTCCGCTGAAATGCCCTCTGCATGCCTAGATTCTGAGTTCTGGTCAGTCACAGTTGAGCAGAATTATAGAAGTAGCACCTCTTATTGAATTACCAAGAGTGAACCTTGAGAATCCTTTTGCCATGGAAGGGACAAGAGAGCAATAGCTTAAAATATAATTTTAAAATATAGTTTTGTGTGTTAATAACAAGAATATGTTAATGAGTTCATTGTAGTCTACATCTCCCCATATTAGTCCTTGGTTGATAAACATTTCTCATACTTTGTTGTTATGATTACATCTATGTATTGCTTATTCCTTAAAAAAGTATAAGCTCTTCCACGATATATGTTTGTCTTATTTGGACATGTCACACACTGGGTGTTTAATTACTTACTTGATAAAAGTATAATAAATTCCTGCTATGATTGGATGTTATTTATAATTAGTGACATTACAAACAGGAAATAGTCTGAAACTTACGCTAGTCCCTGTTGTTTGAGTTTGCGAAAATAAATAATAACTGATTTACACAATAAAAAGTATGAAAGTCCTTATAAGTGAGAGGAAATGCTTGCTTTCAACACATAACAAAGAAGTACTAGTATCCAGAATATATCAAGATCTTCTGTTATCAGTACGGAAAAAAATAGCCAGCACATAAGAAAAATAGACAACTTCCACAGACACGTCTCTAATCCAGTGAGTCAGTAAATATATGGAAAAGTGTTCAACCTCATTAGTAATCAGGGGAGTGCAAATTTAAACTACAGTGAAACCTGTGAGAGCTGGAACTTGATAGGACTGCCTTATTTTTCTGGGTCTCACAAGTTTTCCACCTTTGACAGGGTGCAACCATACCACTTTTCTGTTGCTTGTTTTAGGGAAAATATTTGAGTTTTCCTTCTCTGACAGGTTTCTGCCTTACACAGATTCTGGCTTTCACAGGTTTTACTCTACTATTAGATGCCATTTACACACTCTCCAGATTGATAAAAATTAAGTCTGATAATACATAAGAACAATGATATCTCATACACTACTGGTGAGAGTGTAAGTTGATACAACCACTTCTGAAAATAGTCTGGCATTATTTATTAAAGTTGGATGTACATAAACCATATGAGCCAGCAGTTGTACTCCTGGGTGTATAACTAGAGAGAAACTGGTTGCAGTGTTCATCAAGAGTAACTCAGCATTGCTTACAGTATCATAAAAAGCAAAAATAATATCCATTGGCATTAGAATGGATAAGTTATAATGTAATCATATAATGAAAGAATTGCAGCTGCATACAAGAACGTGGATGACTCCTAAAATGAAAGGTTGAGTAAAAGAAGCATTGCACAAAAGATTTTGTCCGGTATGATTTCATTTCCATAAAGATCAAAAATAGACAAACTTAACCTCTATTATTATTTATTTATTTATTTAAATATTTTATTGTACTTCAGGTGAAGGCTTACAGAACAAATAGTTT